GGGTTCTGGCAGTGCTTCTCCTGTTCCTCCTTGCACAAAGGCAGTCCTGCTGCTGGGTTGTTGCCCTCCTCCGGCCTCCTCCACATCTCCTGATGTACTGGCCTGTCTCCTGGTAGTGCCTCCATGCTCTGGACACTACGCTGACAGACACAGCAAACCTTCTTGCCACAGCTCACATTGATGTGCCATCCTGGATGAGCTGCACTACCTGAGCCACTTGTGTGGGTTGTAGACTCCGTCTCATGCTACCACTAGAGTGAAGGCACCACCAGTATTCAAAAGTGACCAAAACATCAGCCGGAAGCATAGGAACTGAGAAGTGGTCTGTGGTCACCACCTGCAGAACCACTCCTTTATTGGGGGTGTCTTGCTAACTGCCTATAATTTCCACCTGTTGTCTATCCCATTTGCACAACAGCATTTGAAATTGATTGTCACTCAGTGTTGCTTCCTAAGTGGGCAGTTTGATTTCACAGTAGTGTGATTGACTTGGAGTTACACTGTGTTGTTTAAGTGTTCCCATTATTTTTTTGAGCAGCAAACAAGTTAGGAGTTTCTGAAGGTCAGCTGAGCGGACTGAATGCCTGATGGAAGAGGTGGGTCTTAAGCTTTTTTTTTTTTTTAAGTCTGTAAGGATGGTGTGTGACGAGACCAATCTCGCCACATTGCATTGGAGAAGCCTGGTTGCTAGCCTGCTGCCTTTGGACTATGGCCCCCTGTTAAAAGGCATCTTTTTACCTGCAGAAAAGATTTATTCGTTCTTTTCTGCCTGGTGTTCGGTAGATTCAATCTACCGAACAACCGCACGAATGACTGGACCACCTGGGAGCTGGAGTGTGCCGGCAATTAGCCTCCCTGAAGCTGCGGTTAACCGCAGCTTAATTGACGAATGCTGGGTGGCCGCCATTCGTATTACGAACACGAGGTCGCGGCCATTTTAAACATGCGAACGCACAGCGGTGTTCGACGCTTAATTCATGGAACTGAACTCGGACACAGTTTTGCGCGAACACCGCTGAAGCCGCTGACCTCCCTTCTTGTTCGGTGAAAGTGCACAAACGGCCCGGTGTTCGGTAGTTTTGCTTGAATGTGTTATACCCCAGATAGGAATCCCATGGAGCTCATTCGCATAGAACGGACTGTATAAAGACTTTGGCTCCATGGCGATTACACTGTATTCGTGTGGTCTGAGCGCCATTCGCTTAATAATGTGCGCTCAGACCTGAGCTATCTGGGGATATGTTAAATGTATGCTTTTAATGTTATGTGACTTACATAGTGTATTTTAACAGTAATTCCTGTTTTAGTATCCCCACGTGCAAAATGGCGATTTGCCTTTGTCTTGGGAGATAATTGAATTACTTCTCAATTATCTCCAAGGCAGAGGGGAGGAAGCCAGGATGCATTGTGGGAATATAATGTGACTGTGTGTCCTATTTTTCTGATTGTCTGTCTTTTGTCACAGTCTCCCATTTGGTCCCCTAGGGGAGTGTCCACCAGGTGGGAGACCTGCATAAATACTGGGCAGGTAGCCATCATTAAACAGACCACTGCTTGACCCTTAACACGGAGCCTTGTCTCGTCTTTGGGGGGATTTACTGTATGCTGATAGAGACTGATTGCTAGGAGTGTAAGCCGCTTGGATGCTTTTCCTATTCGTCTGCTAGCAGTGATTCGTATGGTTCCAGTTTTTGTGTTTGGAGTGCTATGTTGGATGCCGTTCGGGAGTTTGGAGCATTCCTTTATTGGCGGTTCATGAGTATGGTGTTTTACAATAGCTGTGCCTGCATCTCTGGAAAGGGGGACGATCGCCTAAACGGTTTTTACCCTTGTGTGCAAAACGGTCCGTTACATGGTGCCTCTCTGATTGCGCACAGTAAAGAGTTTCAGAAGGTAGGGGTCTTTATTCTTGGCACTGACAGGAAGGATTTGCTGGCTGACCATAGTGAACGGGATGGAATGTATGGTGCCAGGAGCTCTTTCAGGTACTGTGGGCCTTGATTGTTTAAGGCTTTGAAAGTTAACGGGCCACTTTTAAAATATGTTCACCATTTAATTGGAAGCCAATGCAGGGAGTGGAGAACAAGTTGTAATGGATCACCTGGCACCCCGACTGGGTACCTCCGTTAAAGGATGCTCCTAGCGCTTCCTCAGGACTCCAAGCACTCTGGCAGACACCACAATCACCGAACCGTAGGAGCATATAAATTCTCCCAAGCATATGAATGCTGTAGACAGTTGAATAGGAATAGTTTACTCTCCTAGCAGTCAAACTGGAACAGCATACAATAAATCCTTCCCCCAATAATGAGACGACACTTCACTTTGAGGGTTAAAACAGGAACTCTCTGTACTGTCACATACAGTCGCTTTTATTCCCAATCCACAAACATAGTACAGCCCACAGGGCATTACAAAACAGCCAATCAATCCATACAATACACCCAGACACTCCCACACAAAATCCTCCCCTCTGGCTGTGATATGATTACTGAACACAATGGGTAATCTCATTATCACCGGCAGAGGAATACAGTTTTTACACAATATTTATAACTTCTAAAATATACATGTCACAAACATAAAACATACATTTTCATAATCAATCCATTCAGGGGAACAACATATTAAAAAAATGGCACGAATCAGACCAGGGGTTCAAAAGTTAAGGGAAAGTCCTTTGTGACTAAATGAAGCATGGTTTTTCTGCCCAAAACCAGTTCCACAGAGTCTTCTATAGTGGAGATAATTGAGAAGTAATTAAATTATCTCCAAGGACAGAGGCAAAACTCCATTAGCCACATGGCAGACAAAGGACAATAAAAGACATAAAAATACAATAAAATATACAAGGTTACATTTATTACATAAAATACAGACATTCTACCTATCCCCAGATAGCTTAGATCTGAGCGCACATTATTACCGGATGGCGCCCAGATCACATACATATAGTTCAATCGCCATGGAGCCAAAGTCTTTCATACAGTCTTTCAGTATACTGCTGGGCTCCATGGCATAGCTATCTGGGGTAGCATGGCTTTAACAGTCCGCAGAAAGGCACAAACCAGCCTTTCTGCAGGGAAAAAGAACAGGGGCCATAGTCTAAAGGCAAGAGGCGGGCAAGCAGCCCCCTCCAAGGACACGTGGCGAGGCCGGTTTCGCCACACAAGTGTTATGTAGCAGGGGTGAGTTTGCTTGGTCAGTAGTCTGGCTGCTGCATTTTGTACAGTCTGAAGCAGATGGAGTTCTTTTTCTTGGAGGCCCAAGTAAAGTACATTGCAGTAATCTAGCCGAGAGGATACAAATGCATAGATTAATGTTGGCATATCATCCAGTGGAATTTAAGAGTTGTATCCTGGCTTTGTTTTTCAGATGAAAGTGGGCAGATTTTATTACAGAGGAAATCTGCTGTTTAAATGATAGTCCAGAGCCAATCAGCACTCTGAGGTTTCGTACCTTTGATGAACTGATGAGTTCAGAGCCTCCAAGCTCCAGGCCAGTTGGGTGATCATGGGATATTTTTGTTGCCATGGGGTATTTTTGTCACCAAGAGTAACTCTGTTTTGTCCGGGTTCACTTAGAGCCAACTAGTATTAATCCATTCTATGAGGTCTGCTAAGCAACTGTTGATGCGACATGTTGGGTCAGTGGTATCTGGAGCAAAGGAGAAGTAAAGTTGTGTATTATCAGCGTAACAATGATACCTAAGGCCTTGTCACATAATGATGTCCCCCAGTATATTTATATCATATATTTACCCTAGCATTTATTTATTTATTTATAAAATATTTTACCAGGAAAGATACATTGAAATTTCTCTTGTTTTCAAGTATGTCCTGACTCTCTCTCAACAGAGAAAGGCTACAACAAACAGGAACTCCTCATACAGAGCTATATTTGTTTCCATAACCTTTATCCAGCAGTGATGTATGGTAGCTGTAATTTACTCCCCAACCTTAGTTTCAACTATTGCATAGGAGGAATGGAACTTCTGAATTATCTGATAGAAGCCATACTGCTGTTTACTTACAGTTTAAGGTTTTCTGGATGGAATTGTGTATGGATAGAATTGTGGCTTCAATCTCTTTCCAGAGTATGATAGGAACAAGTTGTGGAAGTAGCCTTTGTATATTGCATGCAAGTTGGATGGAGGTTGGAAGAGAAAGTCACATATCTCCCTTGTTTACTCTGATCAAGAGGACAGGTTTATAACTGCAATGATTTTTACAAATTGCTGCAGATAATAAGGCACTTCATGCAGTCAGGTTACGTTCTTTACAATAACCTTTACAATGATGCAATGTTGTTATTGTGCAAAAAGTGACCCTTCCATTACTTTATTATGGATGGGAGTTATTCAGACATGATGCCAGCTGTTGACTCTGACCAGGGCCGTCTATAATATGAATAGGACCCCGGGCAAAGCCTTTTCTTGGGCCCCCTGGGCCCTGTCACTGCACCCTCCCTCCCCATTATGCCCAACCCGCAATCACACTGACAGACATACTGACACATACACACACAGACAGACACATTAAAACATTTGCAGATACATACTGACACACACATACACTGACACAAAAATATATACTGGCAAACATTGACACACATTCAGACATACTTATACACACACAGACACATACATACTCACAGACACATACACTGACAGATATATTGACACAGACACACACAGACACATACACTGACAGGCGTATTGACATACACAGACATACTGACATACACACACACACACTGGAACACAGTGAGACATACTGACATACATACACAGACATACTGACATACAAACACACAGACATACACAAAGTATGTATGTGTGTGTTAGTATGTCTGTGTGGTGTGTTAGTATGTCTGTGTGTGTATGTCAGTATGTCTGTGTATGTCAGCATGTCTGTGTGTGTATGTCAGTATGTCTGTGTGTGTTAGTATGTCTGTGTGTGTTAGTATGTCTGTGTGTATGTCAGTATGTTTGTGTGTGTATATGTCTGTGTGTGTGTGTATGTGTCAGTATGTCTGTGTGTGTATGTCAGTATGTCTGTCATAGACACACACAGACATACTGACATACATACACAAACAGACATACTGACACAGACATACTAACACACACACATACTAACACACAAACACATACTAACACACTAACACACACACACACACACACAGACAAACTAACACACACATACTAAAACACACACACAGACATACTAACACACACACATACAGACATACTAACACACACACACAGACATACTAACACACACAAGCATACTAACACACACACATACAGACATACTAACAAACACACATACTGACATACTAACACACACACACAGACATACTAACACACACAGGCATTCTAACACACAAACACAGAAATACTAACACACACACATACTGACATACTAACACACACACACACACACACATATTAACACACAAACACATACTAACACACTAACACACACACACACACAGACATACTAACACACACACACAGACACACAAACACAGGCATACTAACACACAAACACAGACATACTAACACACACACACAGACATACTAACACACACAGACATACTAACACACACACATACAGACATACATTTAGCCACCCTCCAGGTTCTTACCTTTTTATGGAGGGTGGTTTCCCTGGGGTCCAGTAGCAGGCTGAGGCAGATGGGAGTTCTTCTCTGGAACTCTCCTCCTCCCTGCCTTCCTCCTCCCGCGCGGCTATCTCCGGTGGGAGGAAGTGACACGCGGTACTAACTTCCTCCCAGCCGGTACAGGAAGGGGCCCGGTCGTGCTGTTTAAGCGTCACAGCGCCCGACCGGGCCCCTTCTGCCACATGCCCACAGGGTGGCCCTTAGTGCATGGGCCACCCGGGGGCCTCCTTAGTTGGTGGGCCGGTGCGGCTGCACCGCCGGCCGCCGGGTACATGGGGGCTGCTGAAATCGCAGGGCCCATGGGGCAGCTGCTCTGAGGCCCCCCAGGAGCAACTGGGCCTGGGGCAGCTGCCCCGTTTGCCCCGCGCTAAAGACGGCCCTGACTCTGACAAAAACTGGACAATTATGAACCTTTGAGAACTGGTACGGGAACATCTACCTCATGCCATATCCCACATATAATTCCTTATTGTCATCCGCTTATAAAAATGTGGTTAATGACATTTACTGTCCACACAGGAAAAGCTGTGCCGAGCAGCAACCAAATCCACAGAAGGGTTAATGCTGAGCAGCAATTAAGCAAATGACAACCTGGTAACTGCTTTTGGAGTCCGGTTATAGACTATCAGATCTAGAGGAGGGGTATTTAGGCCCAGTTCTCATCCTGCTCAGTGCCCTGTTGTGGTTTCCCTTGTGGTTGTCCAAGAGCGCGTTTAATTACCTCTCAAGCCTGGTCCTGCCTGCCTGCCTGCCTGCCTGGTGGGCGTTCTTTAGGTGTGGGATAATGTCATGTATTCATCCGCTTATAAAAATGTGGTTAATGACATTTACTGTCCACACAAGAAAAGTTGTGCTGAGCAGCAACCAAATCCACAGAAGGGTTAATGCTGAGCAGCAATTATGCAAATGGAACCTGGTAACTGCTTTTGGGGTCAAAGGCCGGTTACAGCCTATCAGATCTAGAGGAGGGGTATTTAGGCCCAGTTCTCATCCTGCTCAGTGCCCTGTTGTGGTTTCCCTTGTGGTTGTCCGAGAGCACGTTTAATTACCTCTCAAGCCTGGTCCTGCCTGCCTGGTGGGCGTTCTTTAGGTGTGGGATAATGTCATGTATTCATCCGCTTATAAAAATGTGGTTAATGACATTTACTGTCCACACAGGAAAAGCTGTGCCGAGCAGCAACCAAATCCACAGAAGGGTTAATGCTGAGCAGCAATTAAGCAAATGGCAACCTGGTAACTGCTTTTGGAGTCAAAGGCCGGTTATAGACTATCAGATCTAGAGGAGGGGTATTTAGGCCCAGTTCTCATCCTGCTCAGTGCCCTGTTGTGGTTTCCCTTGTGGTTGTCCAAGAGCGCGTTTAATTACCTCTCAAGCCTGGTCCTGCCTGCCTGCCTGCCTGCCTGGTGGGCGTTCTTTAGGTGTGGGATAATGTCATGTATTCATCCGCTTATAAAAATGTGGTTAATGACATTTACTGTCCACACAGGAAAAGTTGTGCTGAGCAGCAAACAAATCCACAGAAGGGTTAATGCTGAGCAGCAATTATGCAAATGGAACCTGGTAACTACTTTTGGGGTCAAAGGCCGGTTACAGCCTATCAGATCTAGAGGAGGGGTATTTAGGCCCAGTTCTCATCCTGCTCAGTGCCCTGTTGTGGTTTCCCTTGTGGTTGTCCGAGAGCACGTTTAATTTCCTCTCAAGCCTGGTCCTGCCTGGTGGGCGTTCTTTAGGTGGGGGATAATGTCATGTATTCATCCGCTTATAAAAATGTGGTTAATGACATTTACTGTCCACACAGGAAAAGTTGTGCCGAGCAGCAACCAAATCCACAGAAGGGTTAATGCTGAGCAGCAATTATGCAAATGGGAACCTGGTAACTGCTTTTGGGGTCAAAGGCTGGTTACAGCCTATCAGATCTAGAGGAGGGGTATTTAGGCTCAGTTCTCATCCTGCTGAGTGCCCTGTCGTGGTTTCCCTTGTGGTTGTCCTAGAGCGCGTTATTGATTCTGGTTATTTGACTTTGGCATTGTTTTTGACTTCCCTGTTTTCTGGCATCCCTGACTCCTGGATTTTCCTTATCGCTGTGTCTTTTTCTGTTTCCCTTGACCTCGGCTATTCCTGACTATTCTTTAGTACGTTAGTCCGGCCATTCTAAGGTCCGGTATACATTACCTATCAGTCCTCTGTGTTATACAATTCTACGTGCTGGATCATTATGTAATCCTGTTCCTCCTACATAGGGTCACTTGGCAGATATGGATTGACACCTGTCCTCAGAGACCATGATACACACTGACACAGAGCAGAATAGAGACTGTTCCTCCTACATAGGGTCACTTGGCAGATATGGATTGACAACTGTCCTCAGAGATCATGATACACACTGACACAGAGCAGAATAGAGACTGTTCCCCCTACAAAGGGTCACTTGGCAGATATGGATTGACACTGTCCACAAGGACAAGCTGCAGGCTTCCTGGCAGGGCCCATACAAGGTGGTAGAGCAGGTTTGTGATACCACCTTTGTGATCGGTGCGGTCACAGGCACGGGAGGCAAGCGCATGCTCCATGTGAACATGCTCAAGCCATACCACGAGTGCACGGAAGAGGTAACCGCGATCTTTGCACCTGCCACTGAAGATTATGATAATTTGCCACTCCCAGATCTCCTAGACCAAGAGGGCCAGAGCGGAGACCTGGGAGAAGTGCAGTTTGGACAACGGTTAGACACCCAGGAGCGAACCCAGGTCCAAAGACTAATCCAGGACAAGGGGGCCACGTTTTCCAACCTAACTAACTTTCAGAGGATGGTAGATCGGCTACTGGATGGGTTTCAGGATTATGCCTGTGCCTACTTGGATGATATAGCCATTTTTAGCTGCTCCTGGCCCGAACACCTGACCCACATAGGAGCCGTACTAGACCGGATTAGGGAGGCCGGACTGACCCTAAAGCCCAGTAAGTGCCATATAGGAACGCGTAAAAACCTTCCCAAGATAGTAGTATGGGCCCCAGAGTGTGAACAGGCCTTCCAACAGCTCAAGACGGCGCTCATTAAATCACCTGTACTTTCTGCTCCTGATCCAACTAAACGCTTTCTCATCCATACAGACGCTTCTATGTTTGGATTGGGAGCCAAGTCGGAGCAGATGGCGGCAAGCAACCCGGGGCTTATCTAAGCCAGAAACTTTTGCCCAGGAAAGTAGATACACTGCCATTGAAAAGGAGTGCCTGGCGGTGGTGTGGGCCCTCAAAAAGCTGCAACCTTACTTGTATGGACAACCGTTTACCTTACTCACAGATCACAACAAATTTGGGGCACTGCGCGTGCAATCTAATGTTGCACCAGATAGTAGTGGTGTGTTAAGTAGTACTATTCTTATCAGTTTAATTCCTGTTAGGGGACGTGTATATGGCATCAATTTTAGGAACCGGGAGATGGAAAAAGATGCTTGGTCGGTCCTCCTTCTTCAAATTTGGGGCACTGCGCGTGCCATCTAATGTGCCACCAGATAGGAGTGGCACTGTGAACTGGCACAGTATCCACTGTGAGCCTGACACACCCGCTTTGAGACAACTAACTGCTATTCAATCTATAACAGTGAAAAAAGTTTTTTTGTTTTTAAATGCAGTGACACCAGTGAGTGAATGGTGGCACTGGGCACAGTATCCACTGTGAGCCTGACACAGAAGCTGGCAGACAACTAACTGCTATTCAATCTATTATAGTGAAACATTTTTAATTTTTTTTTTAAATGCAAGCTATTGTGACACCAGTGAGTGAGTGGTGGCACTGGGCACAGTATCCACTGTGAGCCTGACACAGAAGCTGGCAGGCAGGCAACTGCAATTACATTAAGCAGTCTGATGTTCTAGCCCTAAAAAGGGCTTTTTGGGGTGCTGTCCTTACAGCAGAGATCAGATGAGTCCTTCAGGACTGTAGTGGACACTGTATACCCTAACCTAGCTATGCTTTTCCCTATCTAATCAACAGCAGCTACACATTCCCTCCTCTCAATAAGCATGCAAATTGGGAATGAATGTAAAATGGATGACTTCTGTAGGTGGGAGGGTCTACTAGGGAGGGTGTGCTGCTAATTGGCTGGAATGTGTCTGCTGACTGTGAGGTACAGGGTCAAAGTTTACTCAATGATGACGAATAGGGGGCGGATCGAACCACGCATATGTTCGCCCGCCGTGGCGAACGCGAACATGCTATGTTCGCCAGGAATTATTCGCCAGCGAACCGTTCGGTGCATTACTAATCCTGACACTTATATTAAAGAAATAAACAGCTTTGAGATTACAGAAACACTATAGTGTATTCCTAACACTAGAGTGCTAGAGTGGCTGTTTAGGTGTCCAGCACCCCTTCAGATTACAGTAAAACAGTAGTTAACTTACCTTTTCTTCATC